ATTCTCCTGCCTCAGCCTCCCCAGTAGCTGGGATTACAGGTGTCCACCACTATGCCCAGCTAATTTTTGTATTTTTAGTAGAGATGGGGTTTCACCATGTTGGCCAGGCTGGTCTCAAACTCCCGACCTCATGTGATCCACCTGCCTTGGCCTCCCAAAGTGCTGGGATTACAGGCGTGAGCCACCGAGCCTGACCAAGTAGGATAATTTTCAAGAAAAATATATCAAAATGGACTCTAGAAGAGACAGAAAATCTACAGAGATCAATAACACAGAATAGAGAAAGCTGTCAGAGAGCAAAATTCCCCAAAACATACAGGTTTAAACACTTTCATATGAAGTTCTACCAAATCTTTAAAAAACAGATAATTCAAAAGATAAATTAGTCTTAGCATAGAAAAAGAAAAAAATTTATCTTCTTGAAAACAAAAATTTATCTTTTTGAAACAACCATGACATTGATAAGAAAATCTAACAGACCACACATACAACATCTACAGAAAAACAGCACATGGATATCAATAAAACAAACCCAGGAGTTCATCATTCTATTCTCTCTACTTCTGTAAATGTTTAAGGTCTAGAGATCTATTGCACAACATGAAGAATATATAATAGATAATAAAATTGTACTGTATATGGGATTCATGCTAAATGAGTAGATTTTAGCTGACCTTGCCACAAAAATAAAAAAGGGTGACTAAGTGAGATGATAGATATGTTCATTTGTTTCACTGTAGTAACCTTTTAACTATATGTATCCCATAACATCATGTTGTATACCTTAATTATACACAATAAAATTTATGTATGTATTTACCTATACATGTGCATCCCCCAGGCTGGAGTGCAGTGGCACAAACACAGTTCACTGCAGCTTCAATCTGGGCTCAAGCCATCCTCCTGTCTCAGCCTCCTGAGTAGCTAAGACCCCAGGTGTGTGACACCACCACTCCTGGCTAATTTTTTTTTTTAAGAGACAGGATCTCGCTATGTTGCCCAGGGCTGACCTCAAACTCCCGATCTCAAGCCATCGTCTGTCTTGGCCTCTCAAAGCACTGGAATTACAGGCACCCGCCTAAGTTTTTTTTTTTTAATTCCATAATAAAAAACTAAAATAAAGACATCTTTAATCAAGGAGAAAAAAATTCTATCTAGATATACCATTTTTTTTTACCAATCAAAAGTTTGACAATAATGTGGTGAAGGCATAGGAAGATAGGTACTCTCAGAAACTTCTAGCGAGGGGGAAAACAGACAACCTTTATGGAAAGCAATTGACAATGTTCGTCAAAATTACAAATGCACATACCTGCTGATGTAGCAATCTCACGTTTAGGAATCTGTCCTATATATACACCCGGACATGCATGAAATGACAATGCGTATATTAATTCACTGGAGGGCAGGTTGCCATAGCAAAGACTAGAAACAACCTATTAATTGTAGCCATCAATAGGGAAAGTTGGCTAATAAATTCTAGTACATTCATATAACCAAATTCTCAGAAGACATAAAAAGGAAAAACAAAGTTCTGCAGGTACAGATATACAAAGGTCTGTTTCTAAGGTATTAAGATCAAAAAACAAGGTACAGACAAAGGTATAAACTGTCATTTATGCAAAAAAGGGGAGGCCAGTGGGCACAAGTGGGAAGTAGGCTTTTCTGTGTCCTTTTGCACCTTCTGAATTTGGAACCATGTGACTGTAATCTTAGGCCCAAAATAAAAATCTCATTTTTAAAAATGCCACCATTTGGAATGTACTATTGCCATTATGAATTAAAAATCCATTTAGAACACTTGTTATTCTTGCTATATTTGCTAACTGTGTGGCAGGCTATATTTCAAGTCAAGATGGAGTTCAAGAAACTTTCATTATTTTAAAAAGCATAGAGAAAAATACTGCACATAGATGAAAGGGGGCCAGTAGATCAGACAGATCATCTGATTAATGATGCTTAACCCTGGATATGCTTTAGAATGACAGGGGGATCTCCTAAAAATACCAATGTTCTGCTCTCCACCCCTAGCACCCCCAGATCATTTACAACAAAAATTCAGAGTATGAGGCCCTGGCCTGAAAACCACTCAAGTAAACGCTTCCAAACAGTGATTCAACAGAAGTCCAGGGGACATTTTGCTCCCCCAGGGGACATTTGGCAATGACTGGAGACATGTTTGGTTGTCACGACTTGGAGTGGGAGGTGCTCATGGCATCTAGTGGGTAGAGGCCTGGGATGTAGCTCAACTTCCCACAGTGCACAAGACAGTTCCTACCAAAATTACCTGGCCTGAAATGGCAAGAGTGCTGAGGCTCAGGAGCCCCTGCTTTAAAATAAAATCACTGCTTCTGAAGTAACAACCAGTTTTAGCCTCCACTTTTGAACACGGGAAATAATCTCACTTACTGATGTGTGGTACATTCCCATAAGAAAGCCTATTTACCAAGGTTGTAACAAATTGTGTATATCCTATGTATCTCCTTTCTCTGGTCCCTGTCTAGTTACTCTAGTCAAAATGTATGTCCCATTTGTAAAGTACTCATGGAGAAAGGCGTAAAGTTCATAAACTAGTAGCCTGTGGGCCAACTTGATCCATCCATCTATTTTGTTTATGCCAAAGTTCTCTTGAAATATACTGAATTGGTGCCAATCAGCTGCCCCTTTGGAGCTAGCCATATACCAGGGATTTGTCACAGTCCTCCACTCGTTGGCTTCATTCACTTATCCACTGCCCGCTACCTGGTGCTTTCAGCGTCTGAGTTGGCCCTCTCCTGCAGTTTTCTCTAATCATACAGGGGCATGAAGCCTCTTCACTCCTCCTCTCTCCTTACCTTAAAAATATCCCACACCCATTCTGAATTCTCCAACTCCCACATCACTTGCCAAAATAGAACTGCTATGAAGAGACAGAACTAAGAGAAAAGTAGAAGTAGAGATGGACTTTTTGCAACAACTCCCTTCTTTTAGTTGTCCTGTCATTAAAGATAGGCTGATTAGAACCTGATACATCTCTGGGTGTTACAAACTAGTCTTGTCACTTCTAGCAAATTCCACTACAACTATATCTAGCACTTGAAGGAAACCCTTAAGTTATTATGCTTCTCTCATGACCTTAGTGAATCCCTCCACCCCTCCCAAAATAGATCAGAAGACTTTTATAGGAAATATCTATCAAAAGATTTGGTAGTTTTCTTTTAGAAAGTTCATGCCTTCTCCTTTGAAATCACAATCGTAGAGTGGTGAGCTGTGCTTTTAAAGATCGCCTGATACAATCTACTCATTTTATTAATGAGGAAAATGAACCCCAAGTGAGGTTTGGCCATTTAGTCAAGGGCACATTCTGAGCTAGTGGCAGAGCCAGAATTAGAACATTTGTTTCCAGATACTGGCCCCACAGGTTTTCCATGATAACAATATCCTCCACTGTGGTTTTCCTACTCACATAACATCCTTGCCAAAATACCTATTAACACGGGTAGACACTAGCTGCTATGGAAATCAACTAACCAAAATTTTGGCTGGCTATTGGAGCTATCACTTAAACTTTGAGGGTGGAAAGAACTGGGCGTTTCTGGATTCCTTTTGTTCCTTTTATTGTGAATTATCCTGTCTCAGTTTATACTAATGAAAGGCTGATACCTTCAGAATCTTCCCTAAACCTAAAAGATGGAAAACGTGCCTATATTTATAGCAACAGCAACACTTTCTAAACTCCAAAGTCAGAAACTGCCTCAAACCTCTACAGTTCTCAAGACGGTAAGTAAAACTACCAACAGCTTTTGGGAGTGAAGTTTTAAGACACAAAGATCAATGTCTCATTGAACTTTGACTTTCATCATCATTCTCTGGCAAATTGGTTTCCAAAATTTTAATTTGGTCTCAACTTTAACCTATTCCTCTCTTCCTATCCTAGCTTTTCAAAAAAAAAAGTATGGACATCACTTTTTGCATATCAGGTCTTCCTCAAATGTTCTACCTCCTTGGCACTTTAGTTTTTATGCCCAACTGACACTATCACTGACACCCTTGACATTTACACAAAATTCATTAAATTAACAGACACCCCACAATTTCCCCTCGAGAGCTTAGAACATCTTTGCTGCTGGATTTATTTTCCTTCAGGGATGCTGAGTTCCATTCTGATACCTCAATGCATACGTTTTACTTTTAGGTGTTTCACAACCAGCTCCTTCGTTTTCTGGGGAAACATGATCCAGTTAACAGAAGGTGGTGGAATCTATTCCCATCTCAGCTAGGCCTGAGGCAGGCTGGGAACCCGGATCTTCTTTGGTCCCACCTCAATCCGTGAAAGCCGCCCACCAGCCCACCGGACGGGGAAATGTGGGTGGGACACCAATGGAGAAGAGAAACGAAAGGTGCTGGCACTAAAGCCAGAGTTGTATTAGACCCTGCTCTGATGCTACGAACCCAAGCGTCCGCTCTTCCCAAGCATCTAAGGCGTCTGCAGTGCAGGCCTCTAACTGCTTTAACATAACCTGATGAAGACAACAGTTCGAGTCCTGCCACTCCAGCCACACAGCAACACCTTAGAGCAGAAAAGGGAAAAAATGCCGTTGCATAATTTATTCAACTTCAAGGTATTTCTAAACAGCTCTTACCCAACCAAAAAAAAAAAAAATCTAAAAATAAAAACATTAAAAAGCCACCCACGTCTCGTTCTGAAGTTTTAAGGGCTGTGAGGTTTGTGTCAAGTAGATGTGAAGCTAACGATGGCAGGTTTGGGGAGTCTCGCCTGCGATGAGGGTCCTGCAATGAGACGCCGTTTCTGTGTCTCTGGGTAAGTCTCAGGCTGGGTGCGAGGGGGCCAGGCCCTGCCCCTCCACGCCCCGAAATCCGAGCCTCAGGAGAGCCCCCTGGATATCCCCTAGCCCCGCCTGCGGTTCCCACGGACTTTACCCCGAAGCTGCGGAGATCTGAGGTGGCAGCCTGAATGGCGGCGGCCCCGGGCCCATGGGAACCCTTGGCCCCGTACTCACCGAAGTCCAGGAACTGTTTGATGGAGAGCGGCGACGGCGAGAAGCGCGAGTAGCGCTCGATCTGCTTGGGCACCGGCTGCTTCAGCAGCCACCGGAACAGCCGCATCCTCGCCGAGGCGGCGCACAGACCCGCCTAGACGCCCGGGGGGCCGCAAGGGCTGGCGCAACCAAGCCGCACGGATAAGGCACGTTTGCTAAGCGCGCACCCCGACCTCGATCTCGGCCTCGGTGCCGCCGGTGCAGCCGCCGCAGCAGCAGCAACAGCTCCCGGACCGCGGCCGGCCGCCCGCGGCTTCCCTAAGCTCCGCCTCGCTGGGCGGAGTCGGTTGCTGCACGTACGCGGCGCGCGAGGGGCGGCGAAGAGCGCGAGGGGCACGCGGCCGCGCGCGCCCTCCACTGATTGGCCGCCGGCGCCTCTGTGACGTTTCTTTTTTTGTCCCGGCGCGGCGCCAGAGTCCCAGCTCTCTGGCTCGTGGAACTCAGCCCAGCCCTGCAAGTGCAGCCGCTCTCGGCTCCGCCCCTGGCTGAGTTCTCCACTGGCGAAAGGTAGCCGAGGTGCCCGCGGACTGGGAAGAGGCCGGGAGACCGGAATCCGATCCTCCGAGCTGCTCAAGACCCTTCTCAACCGCAGGCGCCTTTTCAGGGAGGAGGACTTGCAGTTCACTGCCTCTTGACACTTAGATTTTACGGCCTAACTAGACTGACTCTGTTTCATGGCCCAGCCCCACCCCCACCTCCCTGCCTCACTCCGGAGAGAACACCTTTGGGACACCTTTGGACTGGATTGTTAGGTCGCTGATTCTCTTTTTCGTGGCTCCTTGCCCCTCCTTCCCTCACAAGATTAAGTCACTAATTGCATTTCATGTCCCCCCCCACCACCGTTGGACGGGATCCATTGTGAGGTCAAGGGTCACTAGCATCCCCTACCTCCCCAGTGCCAGTGGACAGGATAATTGCAAGGTCACTGACTCTGTTTCATACCTCCCCCCACTACTACCATTGGAAAGGATCAAATGTAAGGTCACTGACACTTTCTTTCATACGCCTTCTCTACACCACCACCATAGGACAGCTCCCTTCACGCTTCACCACCACTTTTGGACAGGAGTCTGTGCTTACACAGTGTTGGGTATTGTTTATCTCAAGTGAACTTGAGAGCCTGGCATGGTGGCATGCACCTATAGTCCCAACGACCCTGCAGGTAGAGGTGGGAGGATCACGTGAGCCCAGAAGTTCAAGATCTGCCTAGGCAACATACCCAAACCCCCCTCTCAAAAAAAAAAAAAAGTGAACTTGAACTCAGGGCTCAGTATATGAAATTGTTATTTCCTATTATGAGTGAATAAACTACCGCTTACTTTAGCCATTTCCACCAAACCTTGTTTTTTTTTTTGTTTTTTTTGTTTGTTTGTTTTTTTGCAATGTGTAAATATAAACATATGTAACTAAAAGGACAGGAAGAATGTTCTTTAAGGAAAGGTACAAATGTAACTGGAAACCACTCCTCGGGTCTCTGATTGGATTAGTTTTCTCACTGTATGAGATTATTGGTGGGTAGCTATTTAGCTTTTGTGCCCTCAGTGGATGTTTATGCAACCAATTCTTTGCTTAATAAAATAGTTGCATCTCTACTCTGAATGCAAAGAAAAGTAACATACACAGTAAAAGACATCAGCCGGGCGCAGAGGCTCACGCCCTGTAATCCCAACACTTTGGGAGGCGAAGGTGGGCGGATCATGAGGTCAGGAAATTTGAGACCATCCTGGCTAACATGGTGAAACCCCAGCTCTACTAAAAGTATGAAAAATTAGCCGGACGTGGTGGCGGGCCCCTGTAGCCCCAGCTACTCGGGAGGCTGAGGCAGGAGAATGGCGTGAACCAGGGAGGCGGAGCTTGCAGTGAGCCGAGATTGTGCCACTGCACTCCAGCCTGGGTGACAGAGCAAGATTCTGTCTCAAAAAAAAAAAAAAAAAAAAAAAGACATCCAGTGGTCTTCTAGACTTCTGGATTTTCAAGAACATCTTGGTCATCTTGGTAGTCGTATGTAGACTACCATGTCTTTTCCATTCAAATTAAATCAAAGCATTAAAAAAGACATACTAACAACTTCTTTAACCAGGAGCTTTACCAGAAGAGCTAAGTAATCCAGTTGGTGTGCATGGGCAGACAAAGAGAAGACCAGTGGCCTGTGGTTCCTAAAGTGCCTCTCAGGGGCTACCTGGAAGCGGAGCGGTAATTGGTGGCAGTCGTCAGTGAGCAGGAAGAAGCTGGATACTTGTTGAGAGGGAGATTTTCTCAGCCGAAGCAACACAGCGCTGATCTTTCTGAGCTTGCAAATCGCTTGTTTCACTTCTTCCTTTTCCACTGCACAAAATGCTACTTAAAATCCATTCTGTTGATTTGATTATTTAAACTTTCATGTGCCTAATTTTATTTCTGCTTCTCCAAAAGGTGACAAAGTCCTAGAAGTTGGGAACAATATGAAAGAGCCCGATATAATGTAAAATGTGCTCAGACGAGGCTAAGGTCACCTAGCCTGTCTGCGTTGTGGATATTTTTATGTCAGATTAAGATACCTGATTAATCTCCCTGGCATTTGTGACAGTCAAATGAAATAAACCATATGTAATATAAATACAAGGTACTGTACCTCTTGTGTACAGCAATGCATGTATTTTTACCTAATACTTTCATGATAACTTGCAGAGGCCAGAAGTGACACCAGTGTGTTGATAAATAGATCTTGATGAACTTTTTTCAACTCCTTGTACACACCAAGGTCTTGTGCAGACCCCACTCCCAGTGGCTCTCAAAAGTGAAATCCCTGGACCTGCGGCAGCAGCATCACCTGAGAACTTGTTAGAAATGCAAACTCTTGGGGCAGGCGCAGTGGTTCACCCCCGTCTAATCCTAGCACTTTGGGAGGCAGAGGTGGGCAGGTGGCTTGAGCTCAGGAGTTGGAGACCAGCCTGGGCAACATGGCAAAACGCCGTCTCTACTAAAAATACAAAAATATTAGCAGGGCATGGTGGTGTGCTCCTATAGTCCTAGCTGCTTGGAGGGCTGAGATGGGAGGATAGCTTGAGCTCAGGAAGTGGAGGCTGCAGTGAGCCAAGATTGCACCACTGCAAACCAGCCTGGGTGACAAAGTGAGATCCAGTCTCCAAAAAAAAAAAAAAAGAGGCTAGGCATGGTGGCTCCCACCTGTAATCCCAGCACTTTGGGAGTCCAAGGCGGGCGGATCACGAGGTCAGAAGATCGAGACCAGCTTGGCTAACACGGTGAAAACACGTCTCTACCAAAAATACAAAAGTTAGCCGGGCGTGGTGGTGCACACCTGTAATCCCAGCTACTTGGGAGGCTGAGGCAGGAGAATTGCTTAAACCCTGGAGGCAGTGGTTGCAGTGAGCCGAGATTGCACCATTGCACTCCATCCTGGGCCACAAAGCAAGACTCTGTCTCAAAAATAAAAAATAAAAAAAAGGAAAAGATCAGATCAGGCCAGGCACAGTAGCTCTTGCCTGTAATCCCAGCACTTTGGGAGACCGAGGCAGGTGGATCGCCTGAGGTCGGGAGTTCGAGACCAGCCTGACCAAGATGGAGAAACCCCATCTCTACTAAAAATACAAAATTAGCAGGGTGTGGTGACACATGCCTGTAATGCCAGCTACTAGGGAGGCTGAGGCAGGAGAATTGCTTGAACCCAGGAGGTAGAGGTTGCAGTGAGCCAAGATTGCACCATTGCACTCCAGACTGAGCAGCAAGAGTGAAACTCTGTCTCAAAAAAAAAAAAAAAAAAAAAAAAACAAGAAAAAAAAAAAGAAATGCAAACTCTTGGATGGCACTGCAGCCCTACTGAAGCAGATCTGCATTTTAGCAAGCAATGAGGGTCTTAAAGATATGGCCACAAATTATTTGATACTCCTCAAGAGATGGAGCTTAATTCCTCTCCACTTGAATGTGGGTTAGACTTAGCTCATGCTTCTAACAAAGAAGAGTGTGGCCAGAAGTGATGAGATCTCATTTCAGAGACTGGGGTCCTACAAAATACCTGATCAGTACTCCTCAAAACTATCAAGGGCATTCAAAACAAGGAAAGCCTGAGAAACTGTCACAGCCAAGAAGAGCCTAAGGAGATATGACAACTAAATATAATGTACTATCCTGGTTGGGATTCTGGAACAGAAAAAAAGGATATTAGTAATGATAAATGTTTGCGGTGATGGATATGCTAATCATCCTGATTTGACCACTCTACATTGTATGTATCAAAATGTCACTATATACACCATAAATATGTACAATTATTATGTGTCATTTAAAACATTTTTAAAGGATATTAGAATAGGGAGAGATTTGTTAAAGGATACAAAATTATAGCTATACAGGAGGAATAAGTTCTAGTGTTCTATAGCACTGTAGGGTGACTATAGTTAAAACAATGTATTATATAGTTTCAAATAGTTAGAAGGAGAATATTGAAGTTCCCAACACAAGGAAATGGTAAATGTCTGAGATGATGAATATGCTAATTACCCTGATCTGATCACTGTGTAACCTCATGAATATGTACAATTATTATTTGTCATTTAAAAATATAACTAGAAATTTTAAAAATAGGTCAGACGCGGTGGCTCATGCCTGTAATCCCAACACTTTGGGATGCTGAGGCAGGTGGATCACCTGAGGTCAGGAGTTCGAGACCAGCCTGGCCAACATGGTGAAACCCAGTCTCTACTAAAGATAAAAAAAATTAGCCAGTCATGATGGTGGGTGCCTGTAATCCCAGGTACTTGGGAGGCTGAGGCAGTAGAATCGCTTGAACCCTGGAGGCAGAGGTTGCAGTAAGCCGAGATCACGCTATTGCACTCTAGCCTGGGCAACAGAGTGACACTCCATCTCAAAAAAAAAAAAAAAAAAAAGAAATTTAAAAAATAAGGTAAATATAGGCAATCATTCTAGCTAAAAGGAATAAAATATTCTAAAATAAATGGACAAAGGGATATTAGGTAAAACTAAGGCATTCTGAATAAAGTATAGACTATTGGTTCATGAATTATAGCAAATGTACTGTACTAATGCTCCCTGCCTCCCTACCTCTCTCCCTCCCCCCATCTCTCTCTCTGTCTCTGTCTCTCTCTCTTTCCTATGATCCTCCCCCTGTGGAACCTTGAGATGACAAAGCTCTAGCCAACACCTTGATTGACACCTCATTGTAATCTTGAGAGAGACCCTGAGTCAGAACCACTCAACTAAGCAGCTCCTGGGCTCCTGACCCCCAGAAATCCTCAGTTTGTTGTAATAAGTGTTTGTGGTTTCCAACTGCTAAGTTTCTGGATAA